GATTCTGTGGTTCAGCTATTCTGAAAACATCCTTCTCAAAGAATAATGCTGATACCAGCATTGGTGGATACTAACCGGACGTTCATTATTAGGTCAGGCACTGTTCTGAGCACTTTGTATTTATTAATGCATTTAATCCTCACAACAGCCGTAAAGGAACATACCGTGACTGTCTTCATTTTGTACGTGGGGAAGTGTAGGCATGGGAATCAAATAGCTTGATCATAAATATATAGCTGATAAGGGTATAAAATCAAGATTTGAACCCAGGCTCTCAGACACCTTTCTTATTTGTTAATCTACATGCTTGTGCGTGTGTGTGTGTGTGCGTGTGTGTGTATTTAGCCTTCTTACATTTCACAGTGTCTTCTCTACAGACGATCCCATGCTATTTCTTGTTATTGATTGATTCTCATTGTGTCCTGTTCCCCTAGGAGAGAAGCATTCATTTTCTTGATGTGTTTATTTTGCAGCTGAAGCGAAGGTGACTGGTCCCATGAGCCCGGAAGAATGAACTCAGAAGAGGCTGTTTACACGAGGATCTCCCACTCACCAGCTGTTGAGACTCTGTGGATGAAGAGGAGGATCTTATTACCTCAATGGAAGTGTGCGACCATGTTCCCGAACCAACAGCAAAGGGGATTTGGTACAGTGGGGCTGCCTAATAAATGATTCATCAGAAGTATTTGATACAAATCTGTCTTGAAGCAATGTCTTCAAATTTAGTGTTGCATCTTATCTGGCCTCATGTATGTTTGTGTGACCTCTGCTGCTTCTCTCTCCAGTGCCACTGCTGGCCTGAAGGCTGGATCCACAATGGAATTCTCTTCATTCAGGCTATTTATAGAGCCAGCGTGGGTTCCTAACTATTTATTGAATGCCTGTTTCATGCCAATCATTAAGCTGGATGCTTTAAAACATTTAATCTTCACAAAAATCCTATAAGGTTGCACCTACTATCTCCGTTTTTGCCCACGAGGAAGAAGAGGCTCAGAGAGGTTGTGCACTATGTGTAAGATCACACAGTTGGCAGAATCGGGGCTCAAATCTAGATCTAGATACAAAGGCTCTTCACTTTAACACATTGCTTTGCCTATCACTGCTGCAGGGATGATTAGTCCATCATATCATCACTGGTATTCCTCTTATAAATAGAGGTGGTGGGGGTGGGGACAACACCTGGGGGGTTCAGTAGTTTAAGCGTCCGACTCTTGATTTCGGCTCAGGTCATGTCACAGTTAGTGACTTCGAGCTCTGTGTGGAGCTCTGTGCTGATAGCTTGGAGCCTGCTTGAGATTCTCTCCCTCTCTCTCTCTGCCTCTCTCTCTCTGCCCCTACACTGCTTTCTCTCTCTCTCTCTCTCTCTCTCTCTCTCTTTCTCAAAACAAATAAATAAACTTAAAAAAAATAGACGTGAGGATGGTAGCGTATGTGTATGGGAAGTGTCTGAGAGGGAGGGTCAGGGAGGCTTTAGAGACACTAAAAGAACACCATGGTCTTTTAGATTAAAGGTTGATAAACTGTGGCCTGTGTGTCAGATCCAGCTCCCAGCCTGTTTTTGTAAATAAAGTTTTATGGGAACACAGCCATCTCCAATCCTGTATGTATTGTCTATGACTGCTCTCTCTACGATGGCATAGTTGCATAGTTGTGGCAGAGATCGTATGGCCTGAAAAGCCTAAAATATTGATCCCTGTTTTAGGTGATTTAGGAAGAAAGCCAACAGTTTTCATTAAGGCCAATTTATTATTTTTCCCATTGGACTGAAAAACGACTTAAAGGTTTGTAATGCTGAGATAATCACTATATTCTAATGGTGGTGGTGGTGGTGGTGGTGGTGGTGGTGGTGGCAGAGTGGGGGATGGGAGCAGGGGTGGGGGTGGGGGTTTGGGGGAATCTAACCTGGGAAGGTTAAGGGGCAGGGAGTAGAAAGCAGAGGTCTGGCCTGCGGGTCCCCAGTCAACTCCTCACCCCAGACACATCCCACTCATGTCCTTCCTATTCCTCCTGCCAAATCAAGTTTCCTAAAATAACCCTTTGCTCATAAACTTGTAAGTGGCTTCCCACTTGCAACATGCTCAAATCCCAACACCCCAGCCTGGAATTTAGAGACCATAACAATCTGACCCCTACTAATCTCTCTTTCCACTCTCCTCTTTTGTTTTTTTTTTTAATCATGAGGAAGTCATGCCAAATGTGAGTTTATATTTCAAAGCCAATTTATTTGCCTTTGATTCACCTTTTTTTAGTTTTTAATGTTAATTCCAGTATAATTAACATACAGTGTTATATTAGTTTTAGGTATACAATATAGTGTTTCAACAATTCTATACATCATTCAGTGCTCATCATAAGTGTACTCTTTAATCCCCATCACCTATTTCACCCATCCCCCACCCTTTAATGTACTTTTATGTAAGCAGAAAAGTAAACATGTGAAAGTATTTGATAACAGGAAACCAGGCTGAGCTTTCCTATATGATGGCACTGCACCTAAGCTAAAACTTATAAACAAAAGGAAAATTTATAAAGGTGTCTACTTTATAACAGTAGACATTACCCATTTATATTTTGAAAAAATACTCTAGCTAAAACTTCTGTTTTGTTTTTAAGTTGTAATATAAACTTTTCCCCAGGAGTGCCTGGGTGGCTCCATCAGTTGAGTGTCCGACTCTTGATTTCGACTCAGGTCATGATCTCACGGTTTGTGAGTTCAAGCCTGATGTCCTACTCCACACTGACAGTGTGGGGCCTGCCTGGGATCCTCTCTCTCTGACCCTTCCCCCATCAAAAATAGATAAACAAGCCTTAAAAATAAAAAAAGCTTTCTCCCATATTGCTGTGTATTTTTAATAAAGATAATTTTTCATGCTGCGAATATTCCATGTCTTTAAAAAAATATTTTAATGTTTATTTATTTTTGAGAGACAGAGAGAAACAGAGTGCAAGCAGGGGAGGGGCAGAGAGAGAAGGAGACACAGAATATGAAGCAGGCTCCAGGCTGTGAGCTGTCAGCACAGAGCCCGACATGAGGCTTGAACTCACGAAACTTGAGATCATGACCTGAGCCAAATTTGGACCCTTAATTGACTGAGCCACCTAGGCGCCCCAAGTGGAATATTCCATCTCTCATATGCTCCAATGTTTTCCTAATACTTGGCTGGTATTAAGGCATTGGGGGTTCCTATTTCCATTCATTTCATATCTTATCTCCTGGAGTTGTTCTCTTCATTTCCCACCTTCGCTTAGGCTGTTTCCTTGGCTTGGAAAGGGTCCTATCTTCCTTTCATGACTTGTCTTAAGTTCCTCATTTCAGCTTCAGTTGTGTCTCCTTCCCTTTTCAAACTCTGATTGCTAGGGAAAAGTTCGGATTGCCCTTCAGACCGAGAGATGGATTGGGGCGCCTGGGTGGCTCAGTCGGTTGAGCGTCTGACTTCAGCTCAGGTCATGATCTCACAGTTCGTGAGCTCGAGCCCCGCATCGGGCTCTGTGCTGATGGCTCAGAGCCTGGAGTCTGCTTCGGATTCGGTGTCTCCCTCTCGCTCTGCCCCTCCCCCACTTGTGCTCTGTCTCTGTCTCTCAAAAATAAATAAATGTAAAAAAAAATTTAAAAAAAAGAATGAGAGTTGGATTCAAAAGACTTATTTCCTAGGAAGTGCTGATGTAGTACCATCTGATCTGGACAACGACAGCACCACAGTATCAAAGGACTCACAGACACCATTATTTCCCGGTGCTGTGGTCAGGAGAATGGTTTATTATGGAAAATAATAAATTGATAAATACCATATATTTTGTACTTCCCAGTAATTAGGCATTATTCTAAGTAAGCACTTTACACACATTGTCATTTATCTTCATGACAACACTTTCAAGTGGGTATTGTTAATACTCTCATTTTACAAATAAGAACGTTGAGGTAGAGAGAGGTTACCAAATCACCCAAGGCAACACAACTGGTAAGTGGTAGACTTGGCCTTTGAATTCAGACAGTCTGGTATCAGCATCTGGGTGCTTGGTCGATGAAACAGAAGTGTGGTCAATTCACTGTGGGCCCTTTATCTCCCTAGTCTCATTCACTCAGTCTCAAACTGCCCCACATCTTTCTCAGAGTATATGCAGAGGAAGAAGGGCTGCTGAGTAATGTTCTCACTAGGAACAGGGAGCCCGTTACTCTGTGTTGGAGAGACCTGGGGGTGGGGGGTGGGGTGGGCAGCATCCTTTTACAATGAAGAGATCAACAGACAGATAAATTTGCTTTGTCCTTGGTCATTCTCTGAACTAGATGAGTCCAGAGGCATTTTGAGAGCTAAGGCAGGAGGTGATGGAAACACCCGTGTCTTCCAGTCCTCACTCATTTCAGTGTCTCCAGTGCCTAGTATAAAGCAAGCCATCATGCATAGAGAAGGTATTGTGACATAGAAACATCAAAATGGCTACAGTTTAGTTAACTGCTCCTGGCATGCCCTATCCCGGGAAGGAGAGGGGCCTCTTGCAATGGAGCTTATGAGAGTGGGGGTGGGGAGAAGAGATTCAGAGCGCATTCCAGAGGTGAGTACAATTGCAAAGCTGAGTCAGAGAGAGAATGAATAGTTATTGGCCTCTAGTTTGCAGAATGACATAGCCTCAGGGTTCAGAAAGATGTTAAAAGTTATCTCTGCCATCTACCCTTTCACTGCCTGATCCCTTAGGCAAATGCCTAGCCCCTGCTTGGATACTTCCACTGATGGGGACCTCACCACCAAAGTCCATTCCAGCTCTGTATGGCTGTTAGTAAGTTGGACTTTTTGTTGATTGGAAATCTATCTTCCTGTAGCTTACACTAACTGGGTCTAATTCTGTCTGTGGGATGCTAGAGAATAAGTCAGCCCCCTCTTCCATACAACAGCTCTAGAGAGTTTTGAGGTAAAAGATCATGTCCCCTCTGACATGAGAAATTTTCCTTTCCAGACGAAATCCTCGATTGTGTCCCTTCTCACGTGGTTTCCAGGCCCTTTCTCATGTTTGTGTCTACTGATTGCTTCCCACTTTGCTTAGAGCTCTCCAAATATGGAGCTAGACCACTTCATACAGTGCCAGCTCACATCAGAACGGAATCATCCTTTCGCTCCTATGAGAACGTAAATGTCTATAGTGAGTTCCTAGGATCAGAAATTTGCACTCTGGAGTTCAAGGGGGTCCAGGACTTTGGGTTGAGTTTGTTTTTAGTCAGAAGGAGGCAGAGGAAAAAAGAATTAGGTTTCTATGATTGGGAAGAGATGATAGCTAATATTTTTTGAATACTTACTACATGACAGATGCCGCTAAACATTGAACACGAATTATCTCAGTGAATCAACTCAAAAACCCTTGTAGGTGGTACTGTTATGATTCCTCTTTCATAATTGAAGAAACTGAGGCTTAGAGCAAACTCAGGGTTTTCCTGGGTTTGGTGGTGTATGCTAAGACGTAGGCCAGATATGAACAGGGAGAGAGACATGGTTAGAGATTTGGTGCTTCAACAAAGAGCAGCATGTGGACTGTGATTATGCTTCAGAGAAGCTAGGATAACAATGAAAATGAGAGTTAGGGGTGAAAATAGGGCTTCTAAGGCCCCAAAGACCAAGGGGGAAAAAGCCATCCAAGGGTGGCACAGAAGGATATGATGTACAAGGGAGTAATAATAGTAACAGCCACACATTTGTTAAATGTAGACTAAACCAGGCACTTTGCATATGTAATCTCCTTTGATTCCCCACAACAACCGTAACTGGGAATTACTACTATTATGATCATGATGTTACAGATGAGGAAATTGAGGCTTATCCTGGTTTAAAAGACTCACTGAAGGCTACACAGCTGGTAGGCAGCAGTGTCAGGATTTAAATTCAGATTTGCTGAGTCCAGGCCGGGCCCTATACTGACTCCCAAAGGGGAACACTGTTGGCACCACTTAAGGGAAGTAGCTTTCTCTCCCAAGAGATGGGGGAATCCCAGAACTCATGAGGGTACTCAGGGCTACAGTGGTAATGCCTGGCAAGAGGGGGTAGAGAACCTGTTCTGGAAGAGACAAGTTTGCCAGACACTTCACATCAGTAGGGCCAGTCCTGAGGTTATTCTAATTCGATGTTTCCTCAGAAAGGCATTCCTGGAGGCCCAGGGACCTCAGTAAATACCTACAACTAGATATGCTATCTCAGAATTGAAACATAAGGGTTAAAAAACGTCATCTGTTTTATCCCTCTGTAGTTTTTCCTTTTTTTTTTTTTTTAACAATATGCTTTCTCTTAGTTCAATGGTTCTCAAGCGTTAGTATGCATCAATCACCTGGAGGACTTGTTAAAACACAGATCTCTGGACCCTCATGCCAGAGTTTCTGATTAAGTTAGTCTGAGGATGAAGGCTGAGAATTTGCCCTTCTGACAAGCTACCAGGTGGTGCTGATACAGCTGGTCTGGGGATTACACTTGAGAACAGCAGCTTTACTTTATTAGTAAAGCTACTTTTGAAAATTTCCCAGCTGACTTGGCTGTGAAAAGGTAAGTTCAGAAAAGGCAGAGGACTTGCCCATAGGCCAGAAGCAGTGGGGGTGCAGACTTAGTGCCCCGCCAGGTAAGTACTGCTGCCAGAGAGCCTGCATAGGTTGGGGAAGATAGAAGTCACAGCCAGAAGGGACAGGAACAAGGGCAGGCAGAAGGCCCGGGTGAGCTGGGCAGGGAAGCCAGACTGCCTAAAGGAAACGAGATCTGGCAAGGGCAGGAGTCAAGTGGGGCAGAACTCTTGACAAAAGCTGCAGGCTCCTCGCTGGGCTGCAGGGAAAGAACTCGGGGACTGAGGAGGCAAGGAGCCAGGAGTGAGCTCCTGGGATATGACCTGTGACAGAATTCTGGCGATCACATTTCAGCTGTGACTTGCTGTCTCCAAAGCCTCTTTCTGTCTCCTTCTGTGGTTATACCCATCAGTCATAAAGTGCCCAGGAGTTGCTCTCTGAAGTTAAGTCCTTACAGCAAGAGAACTGGGGACAGCGCTAAATGCTGTTTTTTTTCCCCCTTAATGATGTGTCCCACAGTAGAAGGCAGGGTCACGGCTAGGGAGCTCACAGTGGGGTGGTTTGACCACTAATGTCCGATCCCTAGGCTGCATTTCTCCCTCATAGGAAACTGACTCACTACACTGAGTCCGCAGTGCGGAGAATAGTCTTCATGCACTAGACGCTGGGTGCTTGGCTGCTCTCACTGCTCCTCATGGAATTGGGGCAACTTGGATAGGAGGCATCTTTCCCTTGATACCAAGAGAGGGAGCATCTCGGGGCGCCTGGGTCGCTCAGTCAGTTGAGTGTCCGACTTCGGCTCAGGTCATGATCTCGCGGTCTGTGAGTACGAGCCCTGCATCAGGCTCTGGGCTGACAGCTCAGAGCCTGGAGCCTGTTTTGAATTCTGTCTCCCTCTCTCTCTGCCCCTCCCCCTGCTCATGCTCCGTCTCCATCTCTCTCTGTCAAAAATAAATAAACATTAAAAAAAAAAAGAGAGAGGGAGCATCTCTCTGCAAGTTTGCACACCATTTGTCCTTTTAGCTGTAGGAGCAAAATTGTTCATACAGGCCCTCCCTGGACCCTGGCGTTTAAGCACTACCCACCTAGCTTGAGCCAAGTCCTTGTTTTCCCTTTTGGGTCCTTCATCCCATTTCTTATACATGTCTGTCCAGTTTAAAAAAAAAAAAGGATTTATTGAGTGCATACTAGATGGCAAGACCTGCGCTGGGGATACAGATATGAGTAAAAGAAATTTCATCCTTCATAGAAGTCATAGTACAGAGTATAATTGTATACAGGCAATTATAGCCTTGTAGGATAAATACTGTGTCTTATATAGAGCTCATGCCCTCTCAGGGCCTTTGTATTCGCTGTTCCTTCTATCTATAATGCTTTTTCCCAGACCTTTGTATGACTCATTCTCTTACTTTACACAGATCACTTCTGAGAGAGCCCTTCCCTGAACTTCTTATGGAAAATGGAGCCCTCACAATTCTGAGTGCATATAAACATATATAATTACATATATATGTTAATAAACATATATAATTACATATATATGCTAATAAACATATATAATTACATATATATGTTAATAAACATATATATTAATAGTGCTTCTAAACACTGTGTGTGTATATATATATGTACACATATACATATATATATATATATACACATTTATTTACTATATATACACGTTGATTTTTTTTTGGCCTCCCTCCCATACTAGATTGTAAGCTCTGCAAGTGAGAACAGGGCCTTGTCACTGCTGAATTCTCAGTTCAGAGAAATGGTACCTGATAGATACTCAATATGTATTTCCCTTCTGTTCATTCCTCATGAGTGATTGCCTAGTTGGAACTTTTCTGAGCCTCTCCAGAGTCATCAAAATGGAAGCTGAGGCCTTTCTGCTTGGAGAAGAACATTTTCAGGCCTACTTCCCCAAGCTTTCTACAGTCTGCACGGTCCTTTTCAGACCAGACTGAGCAGGTTCTAGCCCCCCACGGACAACTATAATTTATTGGCCATTAACTATGTCCTGGGCACTTCAAATATATTACTTAATCCTCACAATGCTCTACAAAGTAAGCATTATTGCTCTTATTTTATGGAAGATGAAATAGGCTCAGGGAGAGTGACTTGCTCAAAACACAGCAAGATGCCCAGGAGGGCTCTCTGGGAAAGGTCTACCAGGCCCCACCCTCTACCCATGTTTCTACCACGTTCCTTCAGGCCTTCTCCATGTTTCCACGATATCCCTTACCCCAGCCCTTTCCTTCTCACTGGACAGTGGGTTTGGTCTAGCCTGGCTGCTCCTTGGCGGCGGTCAATGTCAGGGGTGCTTAGATGCGTGCAGGATGGAGCGGGGCTGATCTCAAGGACTAGAGCTTTCCTTCCCCAGCCTTTCCCACGGGCCCGGCTGCTGGATGCCCAGTGGCCCATTCCAAGGCCTGCAGCGATCGGGAGCCCTGGAAGAAAAAGGATGCGGTAAGGAAGGAAAGGCTTGGTCACTGGACCCGCAGCACCACTAGTTTTTGCCCCTCCCACCCAGCGTCGGACACCTTCCACTCCATCCAGTCCCGCGGCAGGGCGCATGCGCGGGGCACTCCGGGCTCTCTCCCTCCCTCCCTCCTGCGGGCCGCCCTTTCACCCTGGCAACCGCGGCGCGACGACGGCGCGCGCGCGGGCTGGGCGCGGACCGGGCGGGGTCGGTTCTGTCTGAGGCTGAGGCTGAGGCGGCGGCGGAGGAGAGGGGGCGGCCGCGGGTAGCAGTGTTGGCTTACCCGACTTCCCTCCGCCTCGCCGCAAGGTTCTTCGACGCGGTTTCGGGCCCAGTAGACATAGCCCCTGGCCATGGACTCACAGAAAGTAAGTGGGAGAACGAGGCGCGGGGCGGCGGAGGTTGGGGAGAGGGTGGGCGGGGCGCCCAGGGCCGGGTGGGCGGTGGGCGCGCTGGGCCAGGCAGGGCTGCGGCCGCGGAGGGCTAGGCAGCTGCCCTCCCTCCCTCCCTCGTTCCCCGGTGGGAGCAAAGCGGCGCCCTCCAGGCTGCGGGGACCGCGCCCGGTGACCCGAGCTGGCCTTTGGCCCTGGGCCCTGGCTCCTGCGGGGAAGAAGGGAGCTGTCCCCATTCCACAATCATTTTCTGCAGCGCTCTAGGCCCCCTTTGATTCTGGAGCCTCCCCGCGTGCGAGCGCGGGTTTATCCCGCCTTAGCACCAATCGAGGTGCACGGGGTCTACCTGCTGACAGGGACCGTACACGCTGCTTTAGGTCAGGAACCAAATCTGCTTAGTACCGCGCCCTCCACTCCCTCCTTCCTCGTGACCAGTTCAGAAGCAGGTCTTGGTGTTTAGTATTAGTTGAACTGGGAGAAGAGACTTACAATTGGCAGCGGTCCCACCCTCTTCGACCAGTTTGTTGCTCGTCACGGTTATCTATGGCTGTTGTGGCCTGTTGTATATATACTTTCCGCACAAGTTAGGGAGCTAGTAATTTCGATTAAGAAAAAAAAATGTTTTGAGAACATAGCCAATCTTTTGAATACATTTAGAGTTATTAATATGCAGTCATAATCCCTGTATAGATTAGTAACCACCCTTTTCTCTTT